CCAGGGCTCCGAAGACAGCGATGCTATCTGAAGTACCGCCAATACACACGGCATCTAGCACAGCACGTGGCACGCACCTCACCTTTGTTAAAGGAACACAGAAACTTCCCAAATTCCTCACAGCTAGTGAATGGCAAAGCCAGGATTCCAGCCCAGCTACGTCTCACCCGAGGCTTGTTTTTAACCCCTGCACTACACTAAAATCAAACAGCACACTGCCCTCAGGTCACATGGCTCTAAGTACTGGCGCTAGGACAGGACCCAAGCATGTCTAAGTCTGATGCCCATTCTCTAGTACGTCAGTGGAGTGGGGAGTAGCCTCTCATGGTTAGCTGAGATTTGGAGTTACATGAGAAGACGGCAAACCTTCATGATGGAAGAAGAAATCTGCCAATGACCAGAGAAATACCAGAAGAAATAGGAGAGTGAGCAGCTCAGAAATGGGGGGTGGGAGGAGCTCCCCCGGGGAAGTAGTCTGGCAAGGTCTGGAGAAACTGCAGGAGGAAGCAAAAAAATCAAGGGGCCCCTGTGCAGGGCGGTCGGTGCGCCAAGGCTATAGGAACCACGCTTTAAGGTCCCTCTGGGCAGTGCTAAGGGTCAGAGACTCTGAGAATTAGGTGGGGGGGGGGGAGGCAGGACCGAAAAGGCTCTGGTTTCGCAGTCAGAGGCGGCAGCCGCAGCAACACTGCGGCAATACTGCCACCTCGTGGCCGTGGAGTGCTTGGCCCACAGGAGCAAATACAGACGGTCCACTTGAGGCTTTCTGCTTCCACAGCCATTTACTGAGCACCTAATACGGGTCTGGCTGCAGGGGACCGGAAATGGCTCTGATGTGCTCCAACTTTAAATGACCTCTGTTCTCTGCATCCAGGCACTGACTAAACCCTTCTGACTTGACTTCCCCTTTTTCATAACAACAGGACTGTGAGGACAGAGATGGTCTCATCCGTCTCTGAAGCTCCAGTATCCAGCAGAGGGCCCAACACACTGGAAAACGATGGCGGCTTCTGTTTAATATGTGCTCAGTACTTTTAAACACATGAGCACACCCGCGTCTCACACTGTAGCTATGCAGTACTTCCAAGCCTTCCAAACAGAGATGTCCAGTAGGGGTCTACTAAAGCATGACCCTGGAGCTCTTGGAAAGACCAGGCATAGAGAAATAAGCATGGGTATCGCCCGCACACAGGCTGGAGACAAGTGCCTTTAAGGTTGAGTGTGCATGGCTTGCCTGGAGCTTTTGCTAAAATGCCGCTTCTGATTCTGAGGTCTAGGGTGGGGGGCCTGAGATTCTGCCTGTCTAACAAGCTCCCAGGTGGTATCAACAGTGCTGGTCCACAGAACACATTTTTGAGTGGGAAAAATCTGACTCAGGAGTTGACAAACTGGCCAGAAGGTCGAATCTGGCCCAGCTAAGAGTGATATTTTCATTTTTAAAGGTGTTGTTTAAAAAAAGAGGGGGGGGGGGAGTGAGAGCATGTCCTAGCTGGGTAGCTCAATGGTTTGAGAGCCATCCCAATACGCCAAAGTTGCGGGTTCAGTCGTTATTAGGGTACATACAAGAAGCAACCAATGAATGCAGGAGTAAGTGGATCAACAGACTGATGTTTCTCTCTCCAAAAATCAATTTAAGAAAGAGAGAAGGAGGAATATGTGACAGAGACCATTTGTGGCTCATAAAGCTTAAAATATTTACTCTCTGGTCCTTTCCACAGTTTGCCAAACCATGATTTAGAAGATCGTTCCGGGGCAAGGTGTATAGCTAAACAAGGAGAGAGAGATGAGCAGAGCAAACTGAAGCAAACTGTTACGACTTCCAAATCCCCATGCCTCGTGTGGGTAGGGAAAATAACAGTATAATACACTGTATGAAGGCTAACGGTTTCGCTAAGAAGGCTGCTCTGGAAACGACGAGCTAGCATCTGAGGCATCCAGGCAGGAGAGGGTTGTACTGGGGAAAGGCTGAGGGACACTGGGCTCTGAATGGGGAAGAGGGCCTGTGGGGAGCTGGTATCTGACGGCTCCTTCACTACTTATTTCTGGGGGAAAAACCCAACAAACAGAAAGGCTGGGAGGGGCCCGCATTACTTGTGTGCAGCAACCATACAAGTTCTGGAAAATAAAATAAGGAAAGGCTGTGAATTCTACAGAGCTGCTCCGCGGAGAATCTTCATTCTGGCTGAGGGTGGGGCGGGCGGACAGGGTGCTGGGAGGCGAGGGCAGGAGCTGGCAGCAGAGTAAGAGCCCCGGAGCCTACCGCCAGAGGCTGCCCCAGTGCTGTTTGGCTACAGTGCCTTCTGTCACGCTTCTGCACTCTGTGTTGAAGAACACATTTGCTTAAATGTCATTGCCAGGGAAAGTAAATACAGCTGTCCATTTCTGTCAGTCTGAACCAATCAAGCTGGCTCTCTTTCAGCGGAGGACCAGGCTGCTTTAGAAGGCTTTGCTTGTCTCACATATATTTCCAAAGGACAACAGTAGCCCTTTCTTGGGGGTGTGGGAAAGACTAAATCTGTCAGAAAGGCTGTGGCAGGATATCCATAAAGCCAAACTGTTCTGAAAGGAGAGAAGGTAAATAAAGAGACAGAATGATACATGCTGCAAAGCAGACCCCAGGACTTCCTGGTTGGAAGGAACCTGCAAGGTCAAGCAGTCCCCCTCCCACCCCCCATAAAGCCGCCTACGAAATCCAACCATCTAAAGGAAAAAAGCTCACATCACGCCTGGCTTTTAGCATGAAATATTCTTCTTCTTTCCCTTTTTAATAAGTTTTTAAAAATACTTGCAATCAAAAACAAATCCCTGTCTTTTAACCCCTGAGTTCCTGCCCGTCTCAAGTCCACCCCCTCAAGCACACTCACCGTCTCCCCTACTGGAAAGTGAGCTCCCTTAGGGAAGCAGCGGGCCTCCGCAGCACCCGTCTCAGCGTGCGGGGGGCACCTCCTCACCTAGCAGAAGAGCTCAGTGTTTCTGCCGCCTATTGGCTGTGTGACGGTGGCCAAGTTACTCAACCTTTCAAAGCCTCCGCTCCCTCACCTGTAAAGGCTTAGCACACGAAGGCGATTTGGGGAATAGAACACAACAATACATGTAGAACACTTCGAATGGTGGCTAGCACAACAGTAAGGATTTAGTAAGTGCTGACAATCATTACGATTCAGTTAGTAGATCCCATGAATCACACTTGCTCCTCAAAACACACTACACCAGAGCGGCCACGGCTCCTCACTCACTTCCAGGCAGGTGCAGCGCTATTTGTGTGGTCCCACCTCGTCCTGTCCCTCCTGCCCTGACCGGTGCCCGACCCTTTGCTGGGGCCGGGACATTCTGCAGGTACCTAATGAACTAAGGGAACATTCCATTGTATCTGGGCCCCGGTCCGACAGCGCATACCCACCTTATCCACAACCACCAACGGGGCCAGAGGCCTAGCCCTCCTGTGGGAGGACCTTAGCCACCTATCAGGGGTATCCCTGCCAAGGATACCCACAGTATGCCTGGCAGGCGGATCTCAGGAGCCTCCTAAAACCAGTGCACGTGTTGGAACAGGAAAGGAAGGACGACAGAGCATGTCAGGCAGCCTTGGCGGCAACCGGGCCACCCTCTGCTGCAGCTGCTGCCGCTGCTGCCACCTCCTGGACAACCTGGACTGAGCGGCCAAGACCTCAGTGCTCCCTCCAGGCGCGCCGCCCCCTGTCACTGGGATAAACAACTAGTGCTGCACAATCCGTTTCTTCTTTCTTTGAAAAGTGCCTAATCTACAGACTTTTAAATTTTAGCACCTGTGATGGGCATGAAATGGTATCTCACTATTCCAATGGACCTTCCTTCATTACTAGTGACCTTGAACGTAAAAATATAAAATTTCGGTGATTAGCTTTGACAAATCTTTTGAATTGCTTTTATATATTTTTAGCCCATTTTTTTGTTTGTCTTTTTTTTACTGATATGTAGGGAGTTTTTTAAAAAATATTTTATATCCTAATATGTTACTTTTGTAGATTTGCAAATATCTTCTCCCTATCTGTCTCTTAACCTTTCTTATAGCATATTTTCTAGTATGGAAGGTTTTAAATGTCATGTTTATCAATCTTTCCCTCATGCTTTGTGTGTTTCAGTTTTTGAAAAATAATTTTCTAGTCTAAGATCATAAAGATAAGCCTAATTTTCTTCTAAATTTTTTTCACACAGTATCTTTGGTTCACCTAAATTTACTTTTGATCATGGTATAGGATAAGGTTCTGCTTTTCTTTTTTCCACTTTGATAGTTCCATGCATTAATTAGGACATCCTTTACCCACTGATTTGAAAAAAGGTTCATCATACAGTAAGTTCCCATATTCAACTGGGCTAGAATCAGAAGTCTGGGGTGCTAAGCATTCCCCCCAGCCCCAGCTTGTGCCCATTTTTCTTCCACAGAATTTTCTTGGCTGTTGGTGGCCTTTCACTCTTTAATCTAGATTTTAGGATGAGTGTGTCAGTTTCTATGGAAAACCACCATGGTTGGCTTTAATGGGGATAACATGTAATTTACAGAGTAACTGGGGAAAGAGTTAATATATTTATAGGATCATCGTCCTATCATGAACATGGTATCTCTTTGCTTATTTTTGTTTTCTTTTATATCCTTCAATAAAGTCATATAATTTTCTTAAAACAAACAAACAAAAAAAAACTACACCAGAGCAGGATTTCTCAACCTCGGCACTATTGACATTGGTTGTTGTGGGGGTCCATCCTGTGTTTTACAGGATATTCAGCAGCATCCCTGGCCTCCACCCTCCAGGTGCCAGCAGCAACCCCACCACCCTGTTCTGACAACCAAAACCTGTCTTCGTAGACTGCCAAATGTCTCCTGGGAGGACAAAATCCCCTCTACCTGCCTTTGAGAGCCACTGCACTAGAATGTGCAAATCAGTTACGCAGAGCAGCCGCCCCGTCCCGAATTTCCCACCACCCCACCCTCCCCACACGCGGCAACCCCGCCACCACTTGCTCACCACTCAGCTGCCGTGGAGGAAACATGTGGTAGGTGCTGTAAATATCGTTGGAGAACTGCAACTGGAGCTCAGGGCTGCCCATCAGGAGCTGGGCCACCTGACCCACCTGAAATGGTGTCTTCTCCAGGATCACGATGGCATCCTCTCCGTCTCCAGAGGCCTCATTCACCTGTGGGCAGAGACACAGGTGAGGCCTGGAAAACAGAGACTCCCGAGGACCCCAGGATTCCCAACATTTGGGATTTCTTTCCCTATAGTTTCCCTCTGGGCAAGTCTAGCCAACGGCACTAATGTTTCTCCTGGCGGAAAAGATATCATCAACCTAAATCCTAGTGGCGGTGCTCACATCTTTCTTCTAAAAGATGCAAAGCTTCTCAGCTGTCTTCAATTTTAAGCTCCCAAGGCCTCTGTTAAATTCTCCACATTTTGCAGATGAAGAAGAAACGGAGGTCTAGAGACATTAAGTGATTTGCCCGAGGTCACATGAACAGTCAATCCTGGAAAGGAAACTAGAATCTGGGCATCCCCACTAACTCCTAGCTTGAACGTTCTCCTGGCTAAGCTCTTATGCAGGTGCTGCAGACTGACGACAGGTGGGGCTGAGAGAGCCAGACACAACCTCCTGAGAAACAAGAGACACGGAGAGAAGCGTCGCCCCCCTGACCCTCCCAAAATGAGAGCTCCTGCTGGGGCTCTGGGGAACCCTAATACTGCCCGCGGCTGGGTCTCCTCACCAGTGGCGGGATGGTCCCCAGTCTCTCCCAGACCCTGCTAGAGAGCTGAGCACGTGGTATTAGAGCCAGCCGTGTGCATCTGTCTACCCCAAGGTGCTCTGCACTCCTGAGGCTCGGGGATGGTAACTTTCATCTCTACATCCCCAGCACCTAGCCCAGCGCTGGCCTGTCAGTGCATGGTGTGTGGAATCGAATTACCCATTTAATAAACTGTTTCCTCTGTTAGGGCTGGAGTCCCGCACAGCAAGGATCACATCTCCTACAGGCTCTGATCGTTCCCAGGGGCACGGATGAGCAAGACGGTCCAGCAACACTTACCAGGTTCCTAGCACCCTTACAGATTGAAGGGATAAATGATGAATGACTTGGAGAATTTAACACGTGTTTAAAAAAATCTGCAACACACCCTATTAAGTGTTAGCGGTAATTTTTAGCGAAGGAGGAATTAAGAGAATGAGCCCTACGCTTGTTAAATTTCCTTAACTTCAGGGGTGACCATGTCTCCTCCACTCGCTCCGCCCCCGAAGCATTCTAGAACTGCTTCTCTCTCTCCCCTCCCAGTTATGCGACAAGATCCGCTTTCCCGACGGTAACTGGTCACACACCTGCATCCCCGCCCCGGACGGCCCGTGGTACCTTGCCGTGTAGGAACAGGATCTTGTCCCGCGCGGACTCCCTCAGCACTTTTTTCACTCTAAAGCCGGAGAAAGGAAAGTGGACAGGGGTGGACGTGCCATTCCCAACGCCAGCCCCCTCGGCTGCCTTGTCTTCTGTGGCGGAGGCTTCCTCCCCCGCGGCATCTAGCTCGCGCTTCCTTTTGCTCGGCGGAGACGCCGCGTCCGCCATGTTGCCCACGAGAGTGTGCGCTTGCGCAGATCTCGGACACGCCCCGCCCACCTGCGTGCCAGGCAAGTACTACAACTCCCGACGTGCCCCGGGGGTTGATACCTCTCCCACTCTGTGACCTGTCCGGCTGAACGTTTTTCACCGAAGTTGCAGCCCTGATCCCTTAATGCTGGCCCGCAGAAGTTGAGGCAGGCGCTGAGAGAAGAGAACAAGACAGCGAGCCCCTAAACGGGCAGGCTAGCGGCGCTGCGCTGGCAAGGGCAACCCAGACCCCTGGGACGGACTCCGAAGGCTTTGACATCTTATTCGGATACCGACATTTTAACAAAAATTATACCAACACTGATTAGATAACGTGGAAGGAATGCTTCTGAAACTAATCTGTTGAGCCTCTTATTTCTTGGTCGATTTTTATTTTTATAGAGAGCGCTTAAACCATTTCTGTTTTTCATCCATTTACAGAATCTTCATTGCGTTCAGTTCTTTACAGATTCAGTCCTTGCTGAATAGAAAGGTGAGCGAACAGGGACAGCACTCCATTTCCGTCACCTGCTGCTTTTCTTGCGGGCTGGGGGCTCTGCCTCCTCTGTGCCTGCTTTGCCCACGTGAGTCTGCTATGCGATCCCGAGGTGTGATTTGCAGCATAAGTATGATTCATCTGTCAGAGTTTCTCCTTTTTTGGGGGGGAGGGGGCATAAAAATTTTATGAATGGTTTCTGCTTTGTAAGTTTCTTTTGTGCCCATTTTTTCTGACTAGTCCCATTTTACTTGGTGTTATTTGACAGATCTAAGTCTTGTCAAGAATTGGTACAGCAAGTTTTAGTAAAAAATTCTATTATTTTCACCGGTGTCGGTTTTGAGTTTGTTTTTTCAGATAAAAGAATGATGGGGGCAATTTTCAATCAGTAAATCATGAAGTGTAATATATGTCAGTGACAGTTTGCTTTGGGGGTGATTACTTCTACCAGAAATATACTTGTATGTGATGAGTTGGATAAAAGGCTAACTGTTTTGTGAAGCAAAGTGCATTAGTAGGGGAAACTTAGGATCTGGAGTACTTATCTTCAACCAGAAACATTTACTGCTTGTCCACAAATTTCCTGGGTACATCCCTCATCTTCTGGAAATATACAGTTGGAGCTTATAAACTGTGTGCAACACTAGAACAAAATGTCCTGGGGCAAAATGGCAATAGCAAAACCTGCTCAAAACAATGAGGCCCTGGTCTTATGAAAACGTCTAGGTGTGCACGCTCTTCCTCTTTTCCTTCCTTCTTTTCTTTTCTTTCTGTCCCCTCCCTCCATCCATGTTTTCTTTTCTTTTTTTTTCCTTTTCTTTCTTGTGCCTGGAGAGGGAATTTGAGCGGAGTAGCTATGTCTTAACAAAAAGAGCCCTGCACTGGGAGCCGTGAAGACTGCCTGTAAAACACTGACTAGCTATGCAACTTTGGGGAAGTCACTTACCCGCTGTGGGCCTCCATTTCTATTTGCCAGAAATACTCTCTGTCCTGGGTAAGACAGAAGACACCTCTATGTTCATAGAGTTCATATTCAAATAGAGATGAGGTAAACAAATATGACACTTTTAGGTAATGATTAATGTGTTATTTATAGAATAAACAAGGCAATGGGACAGAGTTGGGCATAAGGGAGGACTTTAGATAAGGTGGTCATGGGTGGCCTCTCTGGAGGTGACATTGAGCTAAAACCTGAATGATAAGAAGGAAACAGCCAGGAAAACGTAATTCAGGCAGAGTGGATATCAGACTCTGAGGACCCTAAAGCGGTAAGGAGCTTGACATTTTTTTAGAAACAGGAATGGCCCTTATGACTAGAATGTAGTGAGCAAAGGAGATAGGAAATGAAATTGTAGAGAAATTTACTCATAAGTGGCAAATTCACCAATGCAGTTATGATTGATTAAAACATCCACAAGGTCAGAATTCTAGTCTTAAGCCCTGGCTCCGGGGAAGGATGAGCTCATAGGAAGCTCAGCCACCAGAGAACCTACTAGAATACCAGCTAGCAGAGTGAAAGGGACCTTTGCGACAACACTATGGATCACTGCTCAGCCCAGAGGCCTTTTCAGCTGGCGATGTTTTTAGTTCAACTCCTTGGGAAACATCAGAAGGCTCTGCACCATCCATCCAATACCCACTAGCCACTTGTAGCTATTTACATTTAAATTAGAATTAAATAAAATTAAAAATTCAGCTCCTCAGTCATACAGCCATGTTTCAAGTGCTTAAGAGCCACATATAGATAGAGGCTACTATATTCAATGGCACAGATGTGGATTATTTTCTATCATCACAAGTTCAGCCAGACAGTGCTGTATTACAAGGTTATTACTGGAAAGCCCTCATCTGTCTGTAAGCATCAACCCCCTTCAGTCTTCTTGAGGAATCTCAAAACCTTTTTTTAAATCCCAAATCTTTTTTTTTAAAGGACTAAATACTCCCATTTCAGGTATTAGAACAGACTAGATATCCTAAAAACAGTTCAGCTGAAAACCTGCAATTCTAGATGTACTATTAAAAACATCCTTTTGGTTACATGACAGCTCTCCCAAGAAAATAAAAATTTCTGAAATGAAAAATGTGGGAGCATGAATTTATAGAACGTTAAGTGGATATAGAAACTGAAGTTCTAAGAGTGATCGCTCGTTTCTAGAAATCTAGAGCCTTGGGCTTTAAATGTCATGATGCAGGCACAGGAAAAAAGACCTGAGCGTGTGCCAAGCGAGGAACTGGAAGAGAACTCCCCAGAGAGGCCAGACCTCTGAAGGGCCACCGCCTCCATGGAAGGGCTAATTATCTACAAAATGAAGAAAACAAAAGCTGCCCCACTAAAGGACGTAAGATATTTAGGAAACTTGTCTGCCTCAACATCTGGCTCTGGAGGGAAGAAAAAAAAAAGTTGCCTGAAAATGTATGACCCCAGGCCAACGTTCGTGTAGGATCAGAATTCAGATTCATATTGCCTACACGAACCAGGGAATTCAAACTGAAAAATCTGTTCAAGCTGCTCTTATATTCTTTATCGACTTCTGACTCTAGGCCAAATTGACTCCAGAACGAAATCTGTAACTCCTTAAGACATTAAGTTTCAGTTTTTAATCTTCCCATAGAGAAAATGCTAGGCCCAATGTATTTACAGATGAGTCTACCAAACATTTAAGGAACGATTAATTCCAAGTTTAAACTTTTCAATCAGAAAAAAGGGACCACTCCCCAGTTATTTTATAAAGCTGGTGTAACCTTGGTAACACAACTAGAGAGGGATCATACAAGAAAGGGCAGTAGGAGCCAATCTTACATATGAACAGAGATGTAAAATCTTAAAGAACATGGAGCAATCCGAATCCTGCGGTTCAAACAAAGGTAATAAATATGTCATGGTCAAACTGCGTTTACCCCAGGAGTGTAAGTCTGGCTTAACATTAGAAAAATCTAATTTTGTTCACTGCATTAGCTGATTGAAGGGGAGGGGCGGACCCATATCACCTCAGTAGATGTGGAAATTTTAGATTAAATTTAAAACCCACTGAAGTAACTAGAAACAGCAGGATACTTAAAACTTGTTAAAAGATATGTACCAAATCAAAAACCTACAACAAATATTACATTTAAGGGTGAAATATGTGAAGTATTCCCATTAAAATCATGAAGGAGATGAAGAAGGTTGCTGTAGTCATGTCAGCATTTTACTGGTGGTTCTAGGCAGCATAGAAAGATGAAGTTTTGTTTTAAAATTGTAATACTGTCTTACAGAAACGCAACAAAATCTATGGTCTTAGAGAATAAGTGGCTTGCTCAGTATGGGGTCAGTATGCAAAATAAATTGTAATTGCTATTGTAATAGAGAAAAATATAATTAAAAAATAATACAGTAGCAACAGAATATATGAAGTACTAAGGAATAAATCTAATAAAATATGTGACTGACCAACCTGGAAAAAGATTATAAAGCTTTACTGAAATACATTTAAAGACATCAAAAAGCAGACACATACCATTTTTATGAAGATAAAATACTATAAAAAAATCAATTTTTCCCCAATGAATCTCTCAATTCTATGTCACCCCAATAGGAAAAAAACAAAACAGGCATTTTCCTATAAACTGAATAAACAATTTCTATGAAAGAGTAAAGGAACAGGAAGGTCAAAGTGATTTTGGTGAATAAGAAGGGTAGTAGGAAGGACTAACACACAAGTTATCAGGGCTTATTAAAAACCATAATAAGCTGCATGCCCCTGACAAGGAGGCACACACAAATGGAGGTGACCGGAGAACCCAGGACTAGGCCACATATGACAAGCAATGACATTACAGTCAGCTGGGGGGAGAGGATGGACTAATCAGTAAATAACATGAGGGGAAAACGGATCTCTGACTTATAAGCCAATAGCAACAACAAAAACAAACCCAAAGAAAACATCCAGGTGCATTAAAGACCCATGTGTGAAACACTTCTGAAAGAAAAGACTTTCTTTTTCTGAGTAAGGAAGGATTTTCTCAATAAGACACTGAAACACAGACTACAAAGTAATAGGTGAAAGTTTTTATATTAAAAAAAATAGCCCCAGCTGGTGTGGCTCAGTGGATTGAGCCCCAGCCTGTGAACCAGTGGGTCGCTGGTTCGATTCCCAGTGTAGGGCATACGACTGGGTTGCAGGCCAGGTCGCCAGCAGGGGGCGTGAAAAATGCAACCACACACAGATGTTTCTCTCCCTCTCCCCCTTCCTTCCCCTCTCTCAAATAAAAATTTTTAAAAAATCTTAAAAAAAAAAGAAACATCTATTCTTTAAAAGGTACTCTCATATTGTCATTTTTTAAAAAAAATCTAATAATTTAGAGATACATGCTTAAAAATACAGGAATAAAATAACACCTGGGAGAGTAGGGTAATTGCTGATAAAAGCTCTGAGTTCGTAATTGTTGAAGCTGGGTGTTAGGATTCATCATCATATATGGATTCATCAAATTTTCATGAAAAAGGTAAAAAGAACTCACTGGCTGGTGTGGCTCAGTGGATTGAGCACTGACCTGCAAACCAAAGTGTCGCCAGTTCAATTCCCGATCAGGGCACATGCCTGGGTAGCGGGCCAGGTCCCTGACTGGGGGCATGACAGAGGCAACCGATCATATCTCTTGCATATCAAGATTTCCCTCCATCTCTCCCTTCTTTACCCTCTCTTCAAAAAAAAATTTTTTTTAAATCTTCAGAAAAAAGGTAAAAATGAAAGTATAAATATTATGATAATAGGAGACCAGTTTTCACTCACCAGATTGGCAAATATTTTAAAATCTGGTAATTTTACGTGTTAGCAAGAACATCAGACAGTGGGAACTCAAGACACAAATGGTGGGGACATAAATTGCCACAACTGAGTGGGGAGAAAATTTGGTATCTTTTACCAAAACTAAATATGCATATGCTTTTCTATCCCGCTGTTTCCCGTCTAGGCTAAATCCTAGAAAATCTTGTTCATGGAAACATGGACAAAAATGTTTGTAGGCTCACTGTTTTTAATAGCAAAACTAGAAACCGAATGTCCATTTGGAACAGAATGTGTGGTTCAATAGTGGTGTGTTTACATAGTGGGTTGAAACTGAATTTACTGCAGTTACATGCTTCAACATGGTTAAATCTTACAAATTTGCTAAAGGAATTTGCAGAATACACCATCATAATGCTATTTATGTAAAAAATGAAACCATTAAAAAAAGTATGTTGTCAGGGATGTATACATCTGTAATAAATTTCTAGACAAAGGCTCAGGAGGATGAATTCAAAATTCAGAATAGTGGTCACTTCTGGTGGGAGGAGGGAGGAAAACAAGGACACAAAATGGGGCACACTAGGGATTGTAACGTTTTGCTTCTCAAGCTGGGTGGAAGGTACAGAAGTATACGTTATAGTATGCTTTAGTCATTTTGTGTGTAATAAAATAATTCCTAGTTAAAAATATACAAGTTTTTCACAATATATACAAATATCGACTCATACACTGAAACTAATGTATGTCATATGCCAATTGTATCTCAATTACAAAAAAATATATATGTATAAATATTTTTCATTATAAGGAAGGGGAAGTGAGAAAAGCACAAAAGTACATATTGGTGGAACAAAAAACTTATTTCAGTTCAACAACCAACTCTTAATGAGAACAGATGGACGAAACCTTACCAGTCCTACCAGGTACACAGTTGTCTGCTGGAGGGAGACGCTGGCTCTCTGGGCGCAGGGCTGAAGCAGCACGTACGCCTCAATGAGTGAGCTTCACAGTAAAGCTGGAGCTCTAGCCAGGCCCCCAGTGAAGCCTCTTAAATGTCAAAACATGGGTGGGCTTTTGATCCAAGGTAAGAGGTCTGAGCTTTCCTTCTCTTCATCCCACCTAGTCCCAGTCCTCTCCTGTCTATTCAGGGAAGTTTCTAGGTTTGAGTCTTTAATGACATGCATGCAGCAAAAATAAATGCAGTAGCATGCTGAGTGTATTTTTCATGTAGCTTCCTGAAGTGAGCGAAGGGCGAGAGAACGGCAGCAGTGTGAGTGCGCGAGACTTGATACCTTCGGCTTTCTCCTGACAGCTGTTCCAGGGCTTTCCCATCCATGAGATACGCACGTGAGACTGCTGGCTGATTCATCGGGTGAGTCACCTGTTTAGGAGGAATGCATCTCTACACCTGTGCCCACTCCCAGGCGAAGGAGACCTAGGGATGTGCCAGACTCACGTCCAATGAGGAAGAGGCAAAACATTGGTGGTCATCTTGGTATCAGCACCTCCTCCTACCACCTCCAGTTTCTGGCTGCTCCACGGCTTCCTGGGGAGTCCCCAGCTTCCCCATGGCCTTCCTGGGGGAGTCCCCAGTTTCCCCAAGGCCTTCCTGGGGGAGTCCCCAGCAATAATGGGGACTGCTAGGCAACCTGATCCCCAGGTCACATACAAAGAGCTACCAACTCTGGCTCCTTAGGCCTTGTCACACCTGCTGGACCCCAGGCCCTGGGCTCTCTCACTTGCTCTCCAGCTTTGTGCCAGGCTTCTGGTCCCATGGTGACATAAGAGGCATCATCTGAGGGTCTGCAGATCTGAAAGAAACCAAACAATCACAGGGCTCATCACCCTCCCCAAATCCAACATCTGCTTCCTCCAACAGGTCTCGACCTCTTCTAACTTTTTATGCGTTTCACTTCCGAGCCCACTGTCACAGAACGTCTTCTCCTGGGTATGCTGATGGGAGGCCACTCTTCCCTACTGTCTTGTACTGGTTCGCCTTGCCACGCAGTGTTCCTCCTGGCACTTCCCCAGCCCTCGGTGGACACCTCCAACCTGGCCTCCGTGAGGGAAGCTCCTACTGTGAACACTGACAACGACAACAGTGGCTAAGCTTAGGGAGGACTTGGCACAGGCCTGCGGCGAGCACTCTGCGCGCCAGGCCCTGCTCCGAACCCTCACTCAGCGCATATGCTTACTGAGGTACGTGGTACCAGCCTCATTTTCTCAGTGAGAAAACCCAGCAGAGGGGTTCAGTCGGTGCCCAGGAAACACGCAATGCTTTCGGTGCCAGCCTTTTGAACTGCGGGCGCGACAGGGGCTGCCCCTCACCCCCGAAAGCCCAAGCCCATCAGACGCCGACCCCTCCCCCGCCCCTCCGCGCAGAGCTTACAGCGCAGGATGGCCTCCCTGACTTGGCGGAAGCCTCGGTCCGGGCCCCGGCCGTCCACGAAGTACATGAAGCGGAGCTCGGGCGGGTAGGCGTCCCTGGCCAGGCCCGCGAGCAGGGGGATGGTGCGGCCCTCGGCGCCCGGGGCCTGGCTCAGGGCCTGTAGCATCTGGTACCTGCACCACGGGTCGCGTAGGAAGCCGGGAGTGATAAGCAGCACCTGGCAGTGGCTGCTGTCCAGCGCCCGGCACAGCTCCGACACGATGGCGCTGCCGGGGGCCGCGTCGCGCAGCTGCAGGAAGCAGCGCAGGCTGGCGGAGGTGTCCTCCAGGTAGGCCACCAGCTCCTGCGCGGCCGCGAAGTCCTCCTCGCTGTGGCACACGCAAACGTCGTAGTCCCTGCTCCAGCGGCCACCACCGCTGCTGCTGGCGGCACCCTCCTGTGCGGGTGGCAGGCCACGAGACGAGGCCGCCGCGGGAGACGAGACTGGTGCGGGAGAGCTGAGTCCCGAGGGTGGGGGGTCGTCCTGCGAGCACTGCGGTGGAGCATCACAGGCGGGGCTTTCCTGGGACACAGGCATCTCTCTGGGCTTCTTCGACAGGGCCTGCCTGAGCCAGCCTGTGGGAGGAAATCCGCTCAGGCCGGGCTCTCACCCGGCCGCCGCCTCCTACCTGCGGCACAGAGGGCCTGGACCAGGAGGCCGGCCCACCTCCCAGCGCCGGCCGCTGCCGCCCGATTCGCAGACCTGCTGCCCGGCGACCGCGCACATCCTTAGGACTTGCCCTAAGTCCCCACTATCTTAAGGCTTTCCGGAAGACACAAGAACCCTGACTGCTTTGTATGTCCTGGGATATAAAGAACAGCAAGTGGCTGTAGTTAGTAATACTGTATTGCATATTTGAAAGTTGCTAAGAGAATTCGATTTTAGAAGTCCTCTACACAGGAAAAATATTCTGTATGGCAACAGATGTTAACTAAACTTGTGCTGACCATTTTGCAATATGTATAAATATTGAAGCATGTTGTACACCTGAAAGTCACATAATGTTGTATGTCAATAACATTTCCATTTTTTAAAAGAACGCCTTGGTATAACAAGTCTGAGAGAGGAGGGGGCAGGGGAGCCAGAGAGCAATAGGGGTCCGCTTCCACTCACCAGCCATCTTGCCCAAAGGCTTCTTGGACCTGGAGCCAGAAGCTGGGAAGGAGGTGCGTGATGCCATAGTGTTAGGCTCAAAACTAACCCCTGGAGACCAGGCATTGGTGACACGGGAGAAGGGAGGGGACCCAGTCTTGAACTCATGGAATAGCCATCCTACAAGAGACAGAGAGGGAGGATCACAAAAGCTGTGCTTACCTTACTCTCAGTCCCAGGGGTGGGCTCCGGGCTGCGATGTTCTCTCTCTAATGCCTGACAGAGACTCAGCCTCTAAGTGGGCCCCTCGGCCCTCATGGGAGAGAGACCACTGTGACTGGGCTGGTTTCCAGGTGAACCCGAATCTGTGTGGGTGGTCAGACTTACAGAGCACAGGATCAGCATGACCAGGAGAGTGACTGCTCTCCGCTCTGCCCGGCCTGCAGCGCATTCGGGGTCTGGGGAAGGGCAAGCTGGCAGGTGGCTCTTTACAGGGGCTTCCTAGGTAAATGCTGAAATGGGAGGGCAGTTACTATTTGGACAAATTATTTTGTATCCAGGTAGACAGACGCTGAGCAGAAGAGAGAGAACACCCGTAATAAACGTTGGGAAACTTTTCTTTCAGGTTGGCCTTCCCCTGAGTGTCTCTCCCCCAACCCCCATCTCTTCCTCCCTCAGCTGTCAGCTCAGGGAAGCAGTGCCACAGAGTGGCAAAGACCACAGCCTGTGCAGGCCAAGGCCTGGGTTCTCACCTTTCCTGAACTGTGGCCTTTAGCACTCATTTTAGTACTTACGTAAAGTACTAACGGTTCATGGCATATATTGCTCAGAAAAGTGTGGGCTACTATGTATTTAAAATCATCTAGAACCCTGACCAGTATGGCTCAGTGGGTTGGGTGTCATCCGACAAAGCAAAAGGTCACTGGTGGTTACCCTCCTGGTCAGGTCATATGCCTGGGTTGCACATTTGGTCCCTTGTCGGGGCGTGTACGAGAGGCAACGAATCAATGTTTCTCTCTCACATCACTAATCTGTAGGTCACAACAAACCTACAGATTAAAGATGCTCATTGAGCCCTGGCTGGTGTGGCTCAGTGGACTGAGCGCCGGCCTGCAAACCAAAGCGTGGCCAGTTCGATCCCCAGTCAGGGCACAGGCCTGGGGTGCCGGCCAGGGCCTCTGTAAGAGGCATGTGAGAGGCAACCACATTAATGTTTCTTTCCCTCTCTTTCTCCCTCCCTCTTCCTCTACCTAAAAATAAATAAATTTTTTAAATCTTAAAAAAACAACACTTTAAAAAATTATCTAGATATTAGAGGAATATATTATGGTCACGATTTAGAAGACTCAATATTGTCATCCATTTTCCCCGAAACTAATCTTTAGATCAGTAGTATCCCATATTCCACAAAGCTTTTGGTTTGGCGGCGGGAGGTGTCAAGGAATTGTCAAACTGCTTCTAAATGTAAATGGCAATGCAAATGACCAAGAATACCTTGGATGGGAGACTTGCCATGTTCTCTTCCTACCACAGTGACCAAGATGTCCCTGATGGTAGAGGCTTTTTCAGCCTAGGTTTCTGGGAGGACACCCTGTGGAGCAGAGCCTGCCCTGATCCGAGACAGAGCCGGAGATGAAGGGCCGGTGGAGAGCTTGGCTCTAGCTATGCAGCAGCTGGAAGAGCACAGCGTCCTCACTCTTTGCCGAATCTTCAAAGGTCAAAACAAACCCCCTGGGAATTAACATAGAAGCAACTTGTATTATCAGACACACCGAAATAAGGGGCTTCAAAATGTAAAGAATGTCATTCTAGGTTGGACAATAATGCTCTGTTCATTGTGAAGTGCTGAACACCCCTATGTGAAGCAGATGAATGTGAGATGAGATGTACTGTTCATTCATGGAAATATATCAAAGTTGAAAAAAAAAAGAACTTAAACTGCAGCAGCAAGCGAAGGAGGAAGAGGAGATGGGATGGGCCCAGGAATCAGAGATATACCTGCAAGAGAAAATAAGTTAAGCGGCAAAGCCATCCAAAAAGACATGAACAGATAAACATTAGCGTGTGTGTGTGTGTTTCTTTCCCTGCCTTATTTCTCAGGATTTCAGATGGCCTCAGTGCGGGCCCAAGACAAGGCACCACCTGACCGCTACTGCCAGGTTTTCAGATCCTTTTCCTGGCCGGCGGTTACTGTCTGTCAGCATCTTCATCTCAACCATTCAAGGTTCCGCTGCCCCCGCCCCACCGCCAGGAGTAAACATACTCTCAACTTGGTTTTTATAGTATTCAGATATTTTTTTCAATTTTGTTTTATAAAATTTGTTATTTGCCCTTGCTACACTTACAAACTGGAGAATCATTTGATTTTAACGATAGCCTAAAGATCAAAAATTAACATAATATACTTTAATCTACTCTGCAGATGTAGATTTAAAAGTTTCAGTCATTTTATAAATGAATTGCCCTTCAGGCAATACATGCTGATATTGGCTAATTGCCTTTTTTCATTGCTTGGATTAAAAAAAATCCAGTTGCCCAACAGCATATGTCACTGGAAGTGGGTTGGTATAAGCCCTTGTGACTAACATTATGGAAAAGTTTAAACACAAGAAATAACACCATCTTTGACAGAGGATAGTTGAGCAAGAGAGGACATAAGTTCCATTAGCCATATAGACTGCCTATTTCCTGGGGCCTAAAACCCTACGACAGCTTCCTTGTTACTTTTCAGTTCTTGTGCAGTGGAGGCTGTGGAGCTGTTACACTCAAATATGTTTTAATCTCTAAAATATTTAGTAATGGTCATATATTGAGATTTAGGAGACATAGTTGCCAAGCAGATAAGAAGATATTTTATGCACTCAACATAGAAGCACCTAAATATATAAGACAAAAATTGATAGACACCAAGGGAGAGACTGAGAGTAATACAGTCAGAGTTGGGGATTTTAACACCCCATTGATATCAGTGGATAGCTCTCCCAGGCAGAAAATTAACAAGGAGACAGAGGCCTGAAAGGACACATTACAGTAATTAATCTGATTGATATTTTTTGGACATTTCACCTCGAAGAAGAGGAATATACATTCTTTACAAGAACAGACAGAACACTTTCCAGGATAGATCATGTTAGTACACAAAACAAGTCTCAATAAATTTTGTAAAAAGACTGAAATCGTATTTTCCTACCAGAATAGTATGAAACTGCAAATCAATTACAATAAAAAAAAATCCCACTGAAAAACACAAACACATTAAGGCTAAATAACACGTTACTAAACAATGAACAGCTTAACTATGAGATTAAGGAAGAAATTAAAAGATCCTTGAGACAAATGAAAATGATAACCCAACAATACAAAGTCTATGAGACACAACAAAAAGCAGTCCTAGGAGGAAAATTCATAGCAATGCAGGCCTATTTCAAGAAACAGCAAAAATCTCAAATAAACAATCAAACCTTACACCTAAAGGAACCAAAAAAAACAAACAAAAAACCACAAAAACCCCAAGCAAACAGAGTTCAAAGTGAGTAAAAGGAAGGAAATAATAAAGGTCAGAGTGGAAATAAATGAAATAGAACCTAAATTTAAAAAAACAAAAGAGCAATGAAACAATAAAAGAGAAAAAAGGCAAAAGTTCAATGAAACCAAGAGCTGTTTTTTTAAGGATAAACAAGATTGATAAACGTTTAACCTGACTTGAGAGAGAGAACCCAAAAAAAGAAAATCATAAATGAAAGAGAAGTAACAAGTGATACCACAGAAATACGAAGTATTATATTAAATGTCAACAGCCAATCCAGAAGAAATGGATAAACACTTAGAAACACAATAATCTTTGAAGAATCAAGAAGAAACAGAAAATCTGAACAGACCAATCTCATCCCCCCCAAAAAAACACCAGTATTCAAAAAACTCACAACAAACAAAAGTCCTGGATTGGATGGCTTTTACAGGTGAATTTTACCAAACACTCAAAGAAGAATTAACACCTCTCCCTCTCACACTACTCCAAAAAATTCAAGAGGAGGGAAGACTCTCAATCTCATTTATGAGGCCAGCATTATCCTGATTCTAAAGCCAAATAAAGACACTACAAAGGAAGAAAATTATAGGCCGATATCCCTGATAAACACCGATGCAAATATCCGCAACAAAATATTAGCAATTTGAATCCAGGAATACCATGATCAAATGGATTTTTTCCCCTGGGATTCAAGGATTGTTCAATGTCTGCAAATAATTAACCACATAAACAAAATGAAGAATAAAAATCACATGATCATATCAATAGATGCAGAAACAGCATTTGACAAAATCCAGTACCTATTTATGATAAAAACTCTCGCCAAAGTGGGAATAGCGGAAACATAACTGAATATAATAGAGGCCATATATGACCAACCCACAGCTAACATCACACTCAATGGGGGAAAACTAAAAGCATTTCCCTTAAAATCAAGAACTAGACAGGGATGCCTACTCTCACTACTCTTACTCAACACAGTACCAGAAGTCCTAGCCACAACAAACAGATAAGAATGTTTAGAGCATTATCCTGATATGCCAAGGTTGCAGGTTTGATCCCTGGTCAGGGCACATACAAAAGTCAACCAATGAATGCATGGATAAGTGAAACAGCAAATCAGTTAGTTTCTCTCTCTCTCTCAAGTTAATAAATATAAAAATTTTTTAAAAATTAATTAAAAAAAAATAAAACACATCCAAATGGGAAAGAAGTCAAATGTCCTTATTTGCAGATGACATAATAATATAGAGACCTAAAGATTCCACAAAAAAGAAAACTACTAGAACTGATAAATGAATTCAGTAGAGTAACAGGATACAAAATATTCAGAAATCAGTTGCATTTTATACACCAATAATGAACTATCAGAAAGAGAAACAAAGAAAACAATCCCATTTACAATTACATAAAATAAAATAAAATAAAATAAAATAAAATAAAATAAAATAAAATAAAATAAAATACCTGGGAATAGATCTAACCAAGGCAGTGAAAGACCTGTACTAGAAAAATTATAAGCCAGTGAAGAAAGAAACTGAAGAAGGTACAAATAAATGGAAGCATATATCACACTCATGGATAGGAAGAGAATTAACATCATTAAACTGTCCATACTACCCAAAGCTATCTATAGATTTAATACAATTCCTATCAAACTACCACACAAAAAAATTAATTTCAAATGGTGGGTAGATATACATGAGAATAACAATAAAGCTTTCAGAGGAAAATACAGGAGATTATCTTTCTGACTTGATTATCTTCCCGATTTTTTCTTTCTTTTTTTTATCTTTCTGATTTTTAAGAAATTGAGATATAATTGACATATGACATTTTGTAAATTTCAGGTGCACAACATAATGATTCAATATACAGCATATATTAACAGTTGTTCACATGGAAAATAATACAATAATAAAATACACAAGAATAAACTGTTTCATGTACTCACAACTGTAAACTTACTCTTGCCCTGCCCTGTATGTATATGTATGTTGTGAAATGACTATCACACTAAGTCTACTTACTATGCCATACATAGTTACAATGTGGTTTTCTTGTGATTAGAACTTTTAATACTACTCTCTTAGCAACTTTCAAATATACAATACAGTATTGTTAACTATAGTCACCATGTGTACATTATATCCTCACGACTTACTTATTTAAAAACCAAAAGATTTTACCTTTTGATCCTCTTCACCTATTTCGAGCTCCCCAAAAATATTTTTTCAAACTTTGGACTTAAAATTTACCCCCAATAAAATGGACAACAGTAAAATTAAAAACTTCTGTTCATCAAAAGACATCATTAGGAGAGTGAAAAGGCAATCTTCTACGAGAAAAAAGATTTTAAAATTACATAGCCAATACATATTTCATATTCAGAATGTTTAAGAGTTATTACAAATTAGCAAGAAAAAGAGGGCAAGTCTCTTAGAAAGTGGGTGGAAGAATTGAACAGATGCTTCACACACAAAAAGAAATCCAAATGGCTAAGAGACACAGGAAAATAAACACAAGTCATTAGTCATCAGTAACCGCAAATTAAGACCTTATTGCAACACTCCTGCCCACACACACCCTGAGCGCCTGGCCCCTATGAAAGAGACAACGCCAAGTACTGGTAAGGATGAGGAGGGACAGGAATTCACGCAGGTAGAAATGTGAATTGGTACAGCCAGTTTTGAAAGCTGACCATAAGACACACCCAGCAATTTCACTCTTAGGAACAAACTCAACGGAAATGCTTACATATATGTTCGCTGAAAGACAAACACAAGAATGCCTTCGCAGCACTATTTAAAATAACCCCAAACTGAAAACAAGCTGTGTCCACCAATCCAAGTGTCCAGCAGAAATAAATTGGGATCTATCCATACAGTGCAACATTACACATCAAGGCGAACAAATGAATTCCTGCCAAATGCAACAGGGGTGAATCTCACATGTTGAGTATAAAACGCCACACACAAAAAGTACGTAACATACGATTCCATGTACCAAAAGTTCAAAACGACGTAAAACTATTTGATGGGGTCGGAAGCCAGGAGAGTGGTTATGCAGGAAGGAGGGATTGGAAGTGGTAAAAGGGTTTCTGCAGAGCTAGGAGTGTTTTATAAATTCTGGATGCACGTAGCCCAGGTAAGAAAGGTTCACTGTGCGAAATCTGGGTGGGATGTACACTTACGATTTGTGCAACTAAAGCAAAAGTTTAAAAACGAACTAGACGTGACTTCCTGTGACAGTCGGTCATTACTGACCCCTGGTACACCCCCTGGCTGAGCTGCAGAACTTCCCCTCTCCACGCTCCGTCTCCAGGAGTGAATCTGTCCTGTTGCCCGCTGGCACTCCTGTACTTTCCACGTTGCCCAGCCCACGGTAGATGGTGAAGTGACGGTGGAAGGAATGCCTGCAGGTCATTACCCCGAGTAAAGCCCTGTTCTCGCTGAAACTCGGTCAGAAGACCCTCGGAAGCGCAGAGGGAGAGGCGGTGAACACAGCAGGGGAGGCTGTGGGGGAAACCAGTCCGAGCAGGGCCCTCCTCTCCGGTTCAACCAGCTTCTTGGCGACAGCTTCTCCGACAGCTGTCGGAGGCCCTTTTCATGCCAGTTCCGCGCCCCGGGTGCCTGGGGCAGCACGTGAAGCGAAGGGAGGGAGGCGGCCGATCGGCAGGCGCGCCCGGGGCTGGGCCGAAGCAGGGTACACGGCCAGACGCGAGTTCTGTCCGCCCCAAGTCTGCCCTCCCTCCCTGGACCCCGGCACCGCCCCCGCGGGGCCCCATCGCCCCCTACCCCACACCTGCTCCGGGCGCTCACCGCTCTCCTGCGCGGGGGCTGGGTTGCGGGGCGGGCGGGGCAGCGCGGGCTCCGGCGCGGGGCTGACCGCCCCGGCCGAGGGGAAGTGAGGCGCGGGCCAGGGAGCTGCCCCCGCCCCGGAAGCGCCCAGGCTGCGCCCCGCCTCCTCCTGCGCCTGGCCCCGCGGCTCCCGGAGGCGGGGGCGGAATCGGCTCCGCTGGCCAGCGGGCAGCCCAGCCTCGGCCTCCGCGGAGAGGGCCCGTGACCGCTGGTGGGCTCGCGGGCACCGACGCAGTTACCACTTGGGCAGAAAGTTGCAGATGGGCGCTTGCCCCTCCAGGACCACCCGCAGCCTCGAGGAGGAGGGTCCCTCTGCTCTCCCGGCTCTGCGCCTGGGTCCCGCAGTCCCTCCCCCACAGTGCCTTCCCTTTTCCCACATCTGCCCTCAACGCCCCGCTTCTGGAAAGCCATCTTTGTAGCTTAAGCAGGAAAATCCTTCTTATCCCTCCCTTTCCTCCTTTTTCCCCAAATTCCCGCAGCACCGGGTGTTATTGGGAGCTTGTGCTCCCACGGCTTAGCCCTCGCCTCAGACCCAAGATTCCTTGAGGCCGGGGACCCGTCTCCCGGCGCCGGAGGGCGGAGAGGCACCCGGATAAACACCGAGCCGAGTCCCGCACCAGCGCTGCCCGGGCTCGGCCCCGGCGCCGAGGGGAGGCTTAGTCCCTGTCCCTAGCAGTTTGACAGCGCCACAGGTGGTGGGGAATACGGTGCCCTCCTGACCGCCTGAACAGAGCCCAGGGGAGAACAGAGGAGTCCCTAGTGCCTTAACTACGTTCACCTGTTCTGTCGAAGAAGCCGCTTCTGGGTGCGGAGCCAGATGAAGGCCTTTTCCCTCTGACACATGAATAGGCGTGTCAGCACTGAAGGGTGAGTGCCTACGGCGGCGCAGCTAAGGAGGCCAGCTCACAGGGTTAACAAGGGTGTCGGGTTTGACCCGACCGCCCTGACCCCTATGCCTCTGGCAAGTTCCTTCCGCTCTTTCTGCACCAAATTCCGGTGGCTCTTCCTTTCCTGGCTCTTCACCCCCCATCCCCCAGGGGCTTCTCCTGTTATCTCACTGGCAGCACGTCCGCAGACACCCTCCACGCCGACCCGCGCCCCCCCCCCCCCCCCCCCCCCGCCAGGAGATCATCAATGAGGTCCACCTCGGTCTTGTGCTTCATTCTTCTCCCCGAAGACACTTTGGGGGTGGGGGCATTTCCCTAGCTGTCTCTACGGCCATTCACTTCTTCCTTCTGACAGCAGCCCACACCTCGCTGAGGTGTGCTTCCTCCCGGAACGGCTCTCCCTGAGGGCCCCCTGACCTTCTTGGCCGGCTTCCAGCCCTCGCGTGCATTTATGCCATTGACATCCCTCTTAGACCAGACCCCTCGCCAGCCACCTGTCAGCGGCTATTTCTTTGGTTCCTCCCTTAAGGGTAATGGAGCCCCTCTCTCCCCTGCTCTTCTACCCTCTGGCAGTGACAGCATCCTCTTCCACGGTGTCCACATCTCGGCCTGTCTCAGCCCAGACCATCCTGGAGCCACAACAAACTCAACCGTTAGCTCTGCAGGTGTCCTGCAGGCACTCTTAGCTCAACACATCCCAAACAGTGCCGTTCTGTCCCTCACAACTCTTTCCTCATCTCTGAAAGGCATGACGTTCATCCAGTTGTTCAACGCAGGGATGAGAGACTTGACCCAATTTCTTGCGGCCACTGGAGCCTCTCGGATCCGTGTGCTCCTCACCATGATCGTGCAGGCCCGCTGTTCCCGCCGCCGCGCGGGACACAGGACAGCCTTCCACCTGGCCCCCCCGCTTGGACCCCATCACCTGTTCACGAGGCAGGCAGGGTGCTTTCTAAAAGGAAAATCTGAGCACGTCGCTTCCCTGTTGAAAACCCATCAGTGGCCCTGGCCCGCAGAAGGCGATCCAAGCTCCACGGTATGGCTCTTCAGCCCCTGGCCCTGAAGTACCTCTTCTTTCACTCCAAGACCTTGCTAGTCCCTTAAATCTTGCTAATTCTTGGTCCTTGGCCTTTGCATATGGTTTTCGGTCAGCCTGGAATCATCCCCCTCCTCACTTCCCCCCCGCACTTTCTTAAGCTGCTCATCCTTTACATTTGCCTGCTGGTGCATCTCTAATATGTAGCCCTGGGCCTGACCAACAGTTAGAGCTGAATCACTAATGAAGAGGAATGAACACATTCCTCCACCCTACAACCACACTCCTGCTGGAAGTGGGGAAAAGGAGGCACCAGCTTGCCAACGAGGACTTAAGAATGCTCCTGGGAGGAAGAGAAGGAGGCGGCGGCGGCAGCAGCTGTGCTTCTCCCAGCCTGATGGGCACTTCAAAAGCAACTGCCATGGGGAGAAGAGGAAGGGACACAAAAGTGGCAGGACAGAGTTAATCACATTTATTGATTCATAATAAATTTGGGCCAGGCTGTACCAGAACACTTCCTGTCTGGGCTCTGTGATGAGGGGCAGAGATTGTTGGGTTGGTACCAGGAAGGAGCCAGTCCTGGGCCACAGTGCTCAGGACCACCACGGCGTTCTGTCCTGCTGGACTACCTTGGTGGGTAGCCTCAGCCTGGGCCCCCGGCACAGGACCTCAGAGCCTGCAGTCTGCCCACCCTTCCAGCCACATGGCAACAGAATCGCCTGGACGAGAGGAGGAAAGTGGAGGAGACCTCGGCACCATGCCGGGGAGGACGATGTGAACATGCGCCAGGACCTGAGCCAGGGGACGGGGCGACACAGGGGGGAAGGAGGCCAGTGAAGAGCTTACAGGCTCAGAAGATATTGTGCTCTTGGACTTTCTCTCCCAAGTAAAAGCGGCTGAAGAGGAAGGGGCTCAGGTTGATGGTTTTGAACTGGCCCTCTAGCACCATCTCGGCCACTGCTCGCCCCACGGCGGGCGCCTGCTGGAGTCCATGGCCACTGAACCCCGTGGCAAAGTACATGTTGACGACCAGGGGGTGGGGGCCCACCACACCGTTCTGGTCGAAGGTATTGTAGTCGTAGTAGCCAGCCCAAGCGCTCTGGACCTGCGGGGCACAAGATGCTGGGCTCTCAGGGAGGCGGCCGCACACCCCGCCCTCCTCCTGGGCTGGCAACTGCGCCCTCTGCCTCTGCTGGGCGGGGGGTCAAGGGGATGCGCCCTGAAGCCAACGGAGTCCTCAGCAGTTGTGAGGTGGGTGGAGAAAGGCTGAGGGAACTGAGGTGCGCCAGTGTCATCTTTGTTTCCTTCCTTCTAGTTACCTTCAGACTCTCAAAAGCTGGGATCCTCTGGGCCAAAGGGGGCCACACCTTGTTCTGGAAGAAATCGTGGTCCACTTCCAGGTTCCCTGGGTCTGGTTCCTCCTCCTGGAGTGAGGGGGCGGGGGGCAAGGCTTATATTACCTGGGACGTAAGGGCCGAGCCAGATCTCACTGACCCCTTTAAACAACCCCCTTGGAGGGTGGGGGGTGGGGACAAGAGAGCCCGATTCAAACCTGGACAGGGCTGCAACATCGACAGCAGCAGCGACCCCTCCCAAAAGGCCCGCTCTTTAGTGACCATCGATCTGTCTCCTGCCCAGCACCCACGGCCCCACTTCACGTACCTCCGTGGGGCTACAGCCACCCAAGTAGTTGCTGCCTAACCCATCCCGGCGGAAGTAGGCTCCACTGGTGTCTGCGACGAATGGCGCCTCCAGGCCCGGTCCCTGGGGGCAGTGCCATAGGTACACGTACCTGCCGGAACCAGTGGGGTTAGGGCACGGCGGGGACAGCAGCTCTTCCCTCCTCCCGCTCAGCAAGCTCCTCACACCAACCCCTTCAGCCGCCCGAGGGGACGTCACCTTTTCCTCGGCTCCACAGGCAGCTTGGTGCCCTGTAGGGTGCCAGGCGACCCCTTCCCAATACCAGCCAGCTCTGCTATCCGTCCAGACCAGGCCCCCGCGGCGTTGATCACTATGGCGCACTCCACAGGCTGGTACTCCACGCTGTGGTCCATTTTCACCTGCAGGCACCAGAGGGGGAGGGGAGGGGAGGGAGGGCCTGGCCTGCACCCTGGCTGCTGTGGGAGGCAGGTTTCTTCCTGGGCCTTCGTTTACCCACACTGGCAGTGGGTAGAAGAAGAGCAAAATGACAGTCATTACCTTTCTCGCCCCTCCACTTTGGTAAGAAAGATACTTAGGCTGGGGACTTACATGGACTTCATGGATCCTTCTCAAAGTCATCTTTTCCCCACTTGTGGTCTCCATGTGGTTAGAGGAAAGGGCAAAACCTGCAGGAAAAAGAAAATTGAGCCCTGAGGCCTTGAAGAGGAAAGAGATGGGAATCCCATGGGTCCCCTAAGGAAAGAAGGCTGGGAGGCGGGGAGCTTTCCCACAGGCGCTCGCGCACACAGGGAGGGCCCTGGAATGAACTTGGCCCCTCAGGCCCTGAGAGCGCGGCAGTCTCTAAGCAGGTCATGAATCAGGAGGAGGCCTGGTCAGGGGCTGGGTCAGGATGACCAGGACCAGCCTGCAGGGGACACACCCCATCCCCACCAACCCTTGCTTGGCCTGCGTGTAAGGATGAGACACAGTCTAGGCCTGTGCCCTGGATGGCAAAGGATATAAGCAGTGGGCAGGGGCCTGGGACTCACGTGTCACCTCTCCGTGGCAGAAATGGACCCCCATGGACCGGACCTTTTGGCGGAGCCCCTGGAGCAGACACCAGGGGTCAAACCAACCTTCGCCTTCCAACCCTGTGAGGAGAAAAAGAGGACTCACGAAGAGGGACTAGAGCCCTCCTCTCCTATTGCACCTCCCGTGCACCCAGCTCTTCTTTGGGCTCGTACGCTGGGGAAAGTCAAGTTGACCGAACGCACAGATCCTGGGGAGACCCTGCCAGCCAGAAGTGGGGCGTTTCTCCTTCGTCTGGCCGCAGGGTGCGGAGACGTGCCCCCTGGGGTGCCCACGCCCCTGGCCCCTGGCACCAGCCGGCCTCACCGTAAGACGCCAAGGCTACTCCCTCTGTGTTTATCCAGGGAAACTTGCTCCGCAGCTGCTCGGGAGACATCAGACACACTTTGGCTCCTTCCTGCCTGAAAGAAATATGTGGGCCTCTGTGTGTGTGTGTGAGTGTGTGTGTGTGTGTGTGAGTATGTGTGAGTGTGAGTGTGTGTGTGTGAGAGAGTATGTGTGTGTGTGTGTGTGTGTGAATGAGTGTGTGGGGAGGGAGCAGTATGGACCCAACTCCGCGGCTGGGGATTCTACCTCAGTCATGCCCCTTCTCTGCCCCAAACTCCCCAATTTTCTCTCTTTGCCGAACGGGCAGGGAACAAGCCCCCTAGGCAACTCAGCATCTCACCTCTTCTTCCTTTCCAACACCCCTGGTGTCCTTTTGGTCACGCTAAACGCTTGGCCACCCCTAACTACTCCGATCCTTTCACAGCAGGAGCCCCACTGCAGTGGCCCTTTGTCCGTGTCCGTATCACAGCACTTGGCACCGGGAACTGAAGCGCCGCGTGCGCCGGACACCCACCTCTGCACTTTCACGTTGTTCTCCATGATCGAGGCATCCTTTTCTGAAGCGAGCAAAAGATAACCTGAGGGGTTGAACTGGAGGTCCAGAGGAGGGTCGTCGACTACAGCCAGGTAATCCTATGGGCAAAATAGAGCCACTCAGAGAAGAAGATTTAAAGGAGTGACAGAGCCCTGGCTGGTGAGGCTCAGTGGGCTGAGTGCCGGCCTGCAAACTGAAGGGTCGCCGGTTCAACTCCCAGTCAGGGCACAGGCCTGGGCTGAGGGCCCAGTCCCTGGTTGGGAGCGTGCAGGAAGCAACCCTTGATGTATCTCTTACACATTGATGTTTCTCTCTCTCTCTCTTCCTCCCTCCCTTTCTCTTTCTCTAAACATAGGTAAAAAAACACCTTTTAAAAAAATAAATAAAGGAGGGGTGGAGAGCATTCCCGGCTTCCTCCCCTACAGCTCTCGGGGGGCTCAGCGCCCCAACCCAGAGGGGAGCCCTCCTGGGGAAAAACCAGGGGCTTCGTTTCCTACTTGCCTGCTCCTGTTCCGTTTCCCCTAGCCAGAGGGGCTGCTCCTGTCTCTGGGGTAAAAAAGTGGGGTCACCACCCCAGCCCCCAAATCTCATCGCACGTACGTTGATGTTCCGTAGAAAGTCGACCGAGAAGAGGGAGAGCTGGATGTTCTCGGGCAAGGAGAACTGCTGACGGATCCCGCCCACGGAAAGCCCAGTAGAGGCCTGGGAGTACTGTGGGAAGACAAGGGAGGTTGAGGTAGACCAGCAAGTGCCTTGCCGCAGAGCAGCAGAATAAGGTCCTGGAAGCGGTGAGTCATGTACCTGAAGTTAAAGGGGAGTCCAGGTTTATAATCTAAGAGGAGCTGACAGGGATAAACTCATAGGCAAGTCATCCAATGCTCAGAGAGGACAACAGTTACTAAAGTCCTCATCAGCAGATGTGCAGAGCAGACAGAGTCAGTCATCAAGAATGGGCTGGGCAATCATACAAAATGGTAATGGCCCAGAAGTCCCAGGGCGGGGGGATAACATTTAATCAACTAATTGGAAAACAGAGGGATATGGCCAAAATAGCAAGATTTGTGGCTAGCTGGCAGCAGGGACAGGAACAGAGAAGGGCAAAACTTGAGAAGTAACAAAACCCAAAGGGGGCTGTTTGTATGAATTGTAACTTGAACACAGGCTCTCTTGGCCAGACCTGTGACATCTCAAAAGATCCCACACTGTGAAATTTCCTTTTAAGAGCAAAAACTGTATTGCCAAGGTCCGGAGTTGGAGGGAGGAAGAACCTGGGACTATTATTTATCAATAAGGTCCAAAGCACAATCTTTGGACCGCCAAAGATTGAGGTCTTTTCTTCCATTCCCTCATCTCGAGTCCTTAATAAAATCCAAGCCCAAGCCCCACTCATGACTCTGTCCTACCCCAGACCTCACCGTGGGGTCCCGCTCCACCACCAGCACCCGGATGGCACCCCGTTGCTGCTCCAGCCTCTTCAGCCAGTAAGCCGCAGACAGGCCAAGCACCCCACCCCCCACAATCACCACGTCCGACTGCTCAGGGGGCAGGTGGCTGGTGTCATACAGTGGATTCCAGGTCCCTCCAGGAAGAACTGACTGTACCTTCTTCTTAATTTCGGACACCTTTCCAGCCCAGCCTGTGGGACATAGTTATGGTCAAAGAGGGCCACACATTTCCTTTCTGGGCGATAGGGGGTTAGGGGATGGGCACAGGAGAAGGTGGGCAGAATTGCACTGAGCGGGCAGGCCCCACTGTCATCCCCGCTCGTAAGGAAGGCCGACTTGCAGCGGCAGCATTCCGCAGCTTTGCTACATGGCCTGCATGCTGTTTGTCTCTCTTCCTTTTCACGCGTCCTGCCCAGCGCAAGATTCAACTTCCTAAAATTAACACTACGCTTTCTCCCTAGGACAGGTGACTTAAGCATGTTTATCTCCTATGCACACCTATCGCTCTTGTGAGCCCCAGGATCACATACTCCACTGCATTACTGCATTGTCACCTCTGCTTGGATGCCCCAGGCTCCTGGACCAAGAAGAGGTCCCAGCAGACTCCGCGCTATGGCAACCTCCGAAGCATGGCCCCTCCAAGTAGCAACTTACCCTGGATATCTGTCGCCCCCAGCAAACTTACACTCATGTCCTATGTATTATCAAGTTCTGAGGGCTTTGCCTCCTAAATATCTCCCCGATCGGTCCCCCTTTTCTGTCACTGTCACCACTGCCCTAGACCCAACCACCATAGTCTCTCACTAGGCTAACACGAAAGCCTCCTAACTGTTCCCACTAATTCTCCTCTTGCCAACCCCACCCCCGAATTCACTTCTACATTGTAGCTTCAATGGTCTTTTCTAAACACTAATTTCATCATACCCTTTTGCTTAATACCCTCCAAAGGCTTTCTAGCACTTGAAGGGTAAAAGTCCAAAATCTATAAACATGGACCATGAGACACAATCTGGCTGCAGTTCACCTTGTCGCCTGCCCCACACTCCAGCCCCAGCCCCATTATTTCCTTGATGGCACCTTATTTGCTCCCATCACAGGTAATACATAGGTGTTCCATCTGCTTTGAAACTCTGGGCCCACTTCTTTGCCCAGTTAAGTCTGCTTCCTTCAGATACCAGCTCAGTTATTGTCTTAGGGAAACCTTCTCTGACCACCCCCACTAGACTATGTCAAATTCTCCTGTCACATTAACTGACAGCTCTGCAAACCTCTTTTGCAGCATGACACACATTTGCAACTGTTTATTTGCTTCATACTGTTCCATGTCTTCACCAGTGAATGTACCTTCTTCACCATTGAACATCCAGCCCAGCAGAGAACCTGGCGCATCTTAAGTGCTCAATAAATATCTTGAGTAAATGAATCCTTTGTCATGAACACCTAACTCACAAATGTCTAAGTCTTCTCACTGTTTCCTAGACAAAGGGCAGCAGCATTAGAATCTTCCTTTGATGCGGGCTTACCCTACCTGACCACACATTTCATACGACTGCTCCAACTGTTTAGATGGCTTTGGCTAGTTCCTTGCACAAGAACAATACTTTTCTCCTCCTAACCTTTGCTCAGTTTTCCAGAAACTGAAGCACACACTTTCCCGCAGCCAACAAACATCCTTCAGAGCGGATCTCAGTTGCCACCTGCCCCACGTGTCAACAATACTTCTGCAATAATACTAGCTTGGGGTCTACCCAGTCTAGGAAGTCTTCCCTCTCCAGCTTCAATGCAGGCACCCCAGGGCATATACTGAACCATCACCTTCTCTTCCCTCCTTCACCGCCGTAGCACTAGGCACTGCACGCAGCCCGCGAGCAGGACTCAACGTACATTTGTGCAGCCAGTGAATCAGCCTGGTCTCTTACTGTGGTGGTAAGCTGAGGTTCAGAGACACCTAGGTTTTGTCACCTGAGAAGGGCAACCTTGCATACACCTGTCCAGGTTTTACAAGCTCCAGCGGGCAAGCTCACCCCCTTCTCCCAGCTGACCCACTGTCTTCCCAGGTCGGGCCAGGGTCCCAAGTCCTGTAGGTCACATAGCTGGAGACTGGGGGTACCCCAGAACCATCATACCCTCCGGTGCCCTCAACTTTACCCCGAGTCGAGCCTCCTCTGAGCGTGCTTAGCCTCCGGCCCAACCGGCCTCGGGCTGCACAGAGCCGCACCACCTCTCGAAACATAGCCTTTCTGAGCGTGGTTTCTCGGAGCGCGACCCTTTAAATACAGCACAGCCCGCGAGCCGTCACTGCTCC